AAAACAATGCTTTTTTGTCAAAACAACTTGGTCTTTGTCTTTGATTCAGCTCCCACTGCCTCCGCGCTGCAGCCTTCTACATCAGGGGACTCCTCTCCTTCTTTCAAGGACGCTACAACGAGGCCAAGTATGACAAAATTTAAATGGACTCGTGCAAACACAACTACAGGTCCACCCCGGACTCATACATATTTATATGTTTTTGTGTTGCAGACGTTTCCTAAGGGAAACCCTGAAGATGTCTAATGCTGAGGATCTGAACAGACTGACTGCCTGCTCTCTGGTTCTGCTGGGCCACATCTTCTATGTACTGGGAAACCACAGAGTAAGACCAAATGCATGACAAATGGGTCTCATATTTGCACTAAAGCTAATTTGATATTCATTTTACACTTTTTGGGCTATGAATTGAGGGTTTATAACAGGTGTCATAACAACCAGGTCACCAGAGCAGAACATTTTTCCTTATCTCATTTAATTGACGGGTAACGAGGTAAGACAAAATGTTCTGCTTATCCAATCTGTTCTTGTTTACCCTCTTGATGTGCAAGTGGTGCCTCATTTATAAAGCCAATTATGCATTCTCCCCAAAATAGAAGAACTGTACACTGATAAATTATTCGGTTTTGTATGACTGCCCATCACTTTTTGTAATAAATCACAGTGAACTTGAACTGATTTGCCTTTACGCAGGCCTCATATCCCAGTATGCTAGCTCCTACAGTTAATCTACATCTGTTGGTCGATACAGAAATGTAATGAGCGGCAGCATGTCACAGCAGCAGTGAATGAAGCCAACTCAGGGGAGCTGAGTCTCAATAAGGCTTCCAATCTGTGCTGTTTCCACGTTTTTTATTGTTTGCCCTCTTCTCCTTCAGGAAAGCAACAACATGGTTGTACCTGCCATGCAGCTGGCCAGCAAGATCCCTGATATGTCTGTTCAACTTTGGTCTTCAGCACTGTTGAAAGGTACATGATGACCTCCTCCCTTAACTTGTGAACCATTATTTATGTTCTGTCACATGTAAACATTCAAATGAAAGCACAAACTTTTCCCGACCTTTTACTGTGGGAATACTTGACTTTGCCATCACATTTGAAGCACAAAATCTTTTTTTCTCAAGATACAAGATGTGGTCAAAGGTAGATTTTGACAATGTGTTGTGCTTGCAGACTTGAACAAGGCCCTCGGGAACACTATGGATGCCCATGAAGCAGCCCAGATGCACCAGAACTTCTCCCAGCAGCTGCTGCAGGACCACATCGCTGCTTGCAGCCTCCCTGAGCATAATCTCATCAGTGTATGTCATGCAGATTAACGTGTTTTTCAAAGTTTACATATTACTCTCCATTATCTCTTCTCACTCTAGTACCATGTTGGATTTACATATTTAGACGTTCATTATGTTGTGTCTATTTCTGTGTCTATGTGCTGTTGTGCCGAGATAACAGTATTTCTCTCTGTTTTCCAGTGGACTGATGGCCCTCCTCCTGTCCAAATCCAAGCCCAGAATGGCCCCACCACCAGCCTCGCAAGCCTGCTATGAGGAACCCTCTGTCTCACATATCACAGTAGCTGGTACATTACCACAAGCAACAGACTGATGCCTAACAACCTGCTATCAGACTACTGTAGCTGAGGTTTGAGAGGATTTTAACAGGTGACATACTTTGAGCCTTCTCTTTATTAGCTTCTCAAGATTGCTTCCTGATTGTCTGCTATTACATTTTTAATTACAACTACTGTTGTACATGTATTTCATCCTCCCTGATGGCATGGATGCTTACAGGGTGTAGGGGCAAGGTTGGACTCTTGATTAGAGTAGTGAAGGACATGCAGCGACTTGGAAGAAGGCTTCTTTGCCTCTGATATAGAGAATCCTTCTCTACATTCGACAGGTTTCTTTTCCATTTGTTGGAAAAACAATGGGGTAGATAGGCGGGCAGTAAAGAAATGTAGAAGAAATTAATTTATTCATGTTGATATTTTTGTAACTGTTGGTAAATATTTTACATCTTGCCTTTTTTGTATGGATGCTGTTTTTCTTTTAATGCATGGAAGTTACTGATGTGGACTCCCTGTACAATAGTTTCTGACCTGGGTTTCTAACATTAAATTCTTGGTAGATAATTTTTGCACAAAATCCATATTAGAAAAAATAGAGACCTCTTGTAATATATTTTCACAGAATAATCAGTTGAACAGTTGGCAGTGTACATTATTTTGGGACAGTGCACAATCAACTGTGTGCAGTTCTTCCTTTGACCAGAAGATGCCTCTGTTGGGTCTGTTAATGAGCAACGTTTGATTACTTTTGGATTTTATATCATTTCGTGGCTATGAGGGTTGCCACATACCTTTTTAAAAAAATACACACACACATTTAACTGATGTATTTTTTTGAAGTTCCATAATATATGAATCCCTGTTGATTTATTAATTTTTACAAATTTTGTTTAGACTTTTGGAGCTCACAATAATCTTCAGATATTCAAAAAGTGAATTTATTTTATTTTGTTATATTTTAATTTGTCCTGATAGATCTACTAAATGGTTTCTTTACAGTATGTTTGTATAGATTCATCACTTGTTGAACCTTTATTGTACAGTGACTTTTTATAAAGTCAATTTAGTAAAGTGTGATATGTATTTTTAGCTATCCTATGTAGAAATCTCAATGCTTGGTATTTAAGGCACTCTGTAAGGACACAGTTTAAGCTTGAGTACTAGCCATATTCTATCCAATGCCTACGTTTTTAATGCTTATGTTGTTTTCAATAATTTTCCAATAAAAATATGATTGAAAGTTTGTAATTAACTGATTTCCCTTTGACTTTGTAGACATAACAGTTGAGTGTATTGAATCAGTTGTGTTGGGTTTTATGTTTAAGCTGGTTTAGGGCCTGTGTGTATAAGAGATATGCTCAGTTAATTATGTTGATTGGACAGGCACTATCTACATACATACAAGCCTGCAAATACTAGCAAGCCAAACTGAGCTACTCATCCTACTCATGACGTTCGGACATGGTAAACACTGCAAAACAATGGGAAAGAAACTGAGTGAATACTAGTGGCTGTATGATGCATAAGTCACCAACTACTGTGGTAGTTACACCAAGAGTTAGTGGTGAGCATGTCTTACAAGCAGTCTTTAGGTGGTGCTAGAGTTTTTAAGGGTATGCACATTGTTAAAGTCTATGTACTCTAATTCTTTTTAGTTTAACGTTCTGTACATTTATTAAAAACAAGAACCAACACTTATGGAAGAAAATATATAAGGATTTTAAAGACTACATAAATATATGTGGCTGGAATGTACCATCAAAATAATTCCAGTATATGACTAAGTCAGTTGTTAATTATAACTGAATTTATGTATTTTCCAAACAATTTATAAAGTGTCATTTGTCATGAAATGATGCAGTTGCAAATATGATATCAAAAAAGAGTCAACAATTAACGGTTCAGTTGCTTAATTTGAGAGTGTAATGTTTGACTCACTCCAATCTCAGATCTTATGCTCTACTGGGACGTGTTCACAAGATCTATTAAGATATCTGTTATGCTAGTTCTCATTCCAGCCTTGGTCAAAGCGTAAAACAACTGTCCTGTTCAGCAAAGAGTCCCTCGCCTTCCTTTTTTTTTGTCTTGTTATGTAGGGCCAAGACAATGATTAGGGTTGCTCACTGGGATAGCATTCATTTGCACCACTCAGAAGTGCATTTTGGGACAGTAAACTAAGTCTACTCTACACTCAGCCTTTTATATATCCTCTGGCGTTAACTGAACAAATACAAAGCAGACCCTGGACTACTATGATCCAGTATGTAGCTGTCCCAGTGGCAAGGGCTTCTGTGCCTCACCTCCATTCATGCACTCGTTCAGTATGGAGAGGTAAGAATTGAGGAAAGGGCTGCTGCTCTCATGCCACCTCTTGAACCTCTACAAGGCTGTCTGACTGCAGGTGGAGGTGATAAACTCAGCTTCAAAGGTAATCATGGCAGTCTGAACATCTCTGCTATTAGCCAAGACACTGGAGGTTTCAGTTAGTGAGGATAACCACAGGAATTGCCACACAAGCACAAAATCACAAGCTGTGGCTACAGAAGTGACCTGGCATAGTTACCAAGTTGTGTAGTTCAGTTATGTCACATGATGTGTTTGTGTGTCTGGGTAAACTGGGTAAACAGTAGTACACAATGGCAGGTAAGAAAGTAGCTGAGTGAAAGAAGGCACATTATGCATATGTGCATGCACACACAAACCATATGCACATATAAGGAAGTCTTAAGACATACAAAATACTGTATGTGAAAAGTAAACACAATCCAACAGGAGACACTCACATGACATTTAACATACTGTCCTGGTAAATATAATATGCAAAATGTGAGTTTTTTCAGGAGAACAAATGTTCTAAAATACACAGAATAAAGACCATATGGACTACAAAGCATAAAATAAAGGAATACATGTATACACCTGTAACCAACTACATTATCAGTGATAGAAATTGAAACACCTAAAATGAAAGAGTTAAATGGATACATCACTTTTTATGTTTATCTTTGTTTTATATGCATGTGTGAAAATCTTATAATCATAATCCTTTGTTTTATGTTTTAGGTCCAGTATGCATGAACAGAGAAACTGAAACGTTTCTTTGACAAGCAAGCACAACATTGTCACACAAGTTTTCAGTGAAAACACTACAGGATCAGACTACATTTACAATAGGTCATCATACAATGAAATTGTATTATTTACACTTTAAATTGGATTCGTGCAGGAGTTTAAGTTCCCATTCAGTAACTGCCCTGCCCTTGTTTGTGCTGTCCCTATTTTTGCAGTACTTCCGTCTAATAGTTCCAAACGCAGCATTTTCCCTCTAGCTCAGCAGTTGGAAACTTAACATTTCCGAGGTGTGTATGAACGCAGCATGACGCCGCCTGTGGTGGCTCATTACATTATCTGGCAACCGGAGTGGCAGCGGACAGAAGAGAGGGGATCCCCGGGATTTTTACACCGAAGCCAGCTAAATACCGACACCAAACATCTGAAAATCGCGGGGGAACTCGGTTAAGCTCCTCCTAGACTTCGTAAGTTCATGTATTTCATCATCATATGAACTAATCCATTATTTTAATTTTCAATTAAATTATGACGACGAAGGAAGTTTCTCTATCGGTGTTAGCTCAGCTAACGTAAGTTAAGCTAGCTAGCATAGCTTGATCGCAGCTAACGTGCAAGGTAACAGTTTGTGTGTCGCTCAGCTGCACACATACACCTACCGAGCACTGACTGCCGGGAACAAACCGCCTCAAAAAGTCGAGCAATATTGAAAGTAACTTCCTCAACAAACTTGTTTAAAGATGCTCTAATAGTAAGATATATTGTAAGTTGTTTATTTTCAATTGTATATATCGAAGCGATGAAACTCTTAGAGAAAGCGGTGCTTTTCTGTACATAATTAACGCTCGATTATTTGTGAATAAATTTAGCGACTGTCTGTCTGGGCAGACGAGTGTCCAGGGAGTTAGCGTTAGCAGGCTAAGTTAGCTCGATAGCTAGCCTGTTAACACTAGCGGCTCAGTGAGACGGGGTCGGTTTCATTGTCTGTCGTGTATCGCTATTTGGACGCAGACCGACATCAAAGCTTAAAATCATAATTCATATCATCATATTTAAAGGAGCGTGTGCGCTAGTGTCCAGTGACTGTCCTTGATTCCGCGTAATCGCTGATAACCACAACTGGCTGTTAGCTCCCCTTAGTTAGCCACTGGTTTTGTAGCCGGACAGATGGACAGGTTGTTGTTGGCAAGCCAAGTTAACGTTAGCATAGATAGCCTGTTGTTGTTGATGGGTAAGTTGGAAATAGGTAGCAATTCTTTTCGGTAAAGTTGGGTCACTAAAGTTTTTTAGCACCATAAACAGTATTGCCACCGGTTATTGCAAAGCTGGCTGCTCTTCTTAGCTGTGGATGGGTATGATTATGGCTTTATGAGCCACTGATCTCAGAACTTTGTCAGATTAGCTCAACCGTGAAAAGCCTTTTTATGGAGGCGTAATGGTGGACGGTTGTGCCTCCGTCGGAGTGAGTGTCTGTCTGTCCACCACGGGCTAGTCGCTATTACCTACGTCAGACCATAAATAACCAAATGCCTACTTTGTGTTTATACCAGAATATTAGTGTTAATTCACCATAATCAAATCCCATTAATCACGTAATGTATGTAATAAGATGTGTTACTTTAGAGTATAGAAGTATGCCCTATAACTACTATACCGATGATTTCCCACTGAACTCAAACGTATGAAGGCATTCCTGTGGTTTTAATCATTTGATGTTACTTGTGAGATTTCCTGTTTGTAAGATATATCTGAATTATTTAGGCTTGCGATGACTCTGTTGGGGCTCTGCCTTTAAAGATTCATTTAGACAGTTACCTCAATCTACAGCAAGTTATGAACCGTGGGTTATGTTGTTTGAGTGGACACTTCAAGTCAGTATTCAACTGTCTTTGAGGTGTGTTTAAACTGAACAGCAGTGTTTATATCCCTACCTCTGCTGAGCAAGTGCCCTCCTTTTAGAGCAAGCAGACAGTTGGCACCCTTGGCTATTGATGGGGGACACATGTCGCTTCGCATTTTATGATGGGCCTTCGATTTGCCTGAGGAGGGGTGCCTCTTATGAAAACCCTCCTGAGAGTGATGTGACCAGACAGGCATGACTCGAGATCCACTCTTATTCTGCTGCATCAGGACTGAAACTTTTTAAAGACACATCTGTATTTTCCATGACACTGTATTTTTTTCAGCTTTTGTCATAAGTAAGGCTCAAAGGAACCCTGCTCATTGTTGCCATTGTTAAGTTTATTATTGTTATATTAGCCTTGGTATTTGCAGGTCCATTCTTCTGGAATTTAATCTCGCTGTAAGTGTTTTTTCAGTTGTGCTGAGTTACAACTTGTGCTGTTCAACTTTAATGCTGAGCCATGGGCATGAAAGTGAAGGATCAGATTAAATTATTTTTTACATCCAATTTATGGTTGTTATGTTAATGTCTCTAAATTGGAAAAAAAAAAAAAAAAAAACCTAGGTGTACTCACTACATTGTGTTTTGTTGTTACTTTTTTTAGATAGAATGTATGGGCATGAGAGAGATTCAAATGGAGATCACATCTGTTTCACACAACCCTGACCAACGACAGTGAATCGTGATGTAACTTATCCCTGGGATATGTAACAGTCCTTGCATTAGTTTTAGTTTTTTTTACCAGTTCTAATGATTATCAACAACATGTAGACCTAATACTGGTGATAACTCTCTGCAGGGTAGTAGTGGCATAGTGCTTATTGTTTCCATCCATTCACATCTGGCTGAGGTGTTACAATAACAGTATCTCTATAGCTCACTGTGGGGCACAGTTTAACACAGCAGCCTGTTTGAGTGCGAGCACAGTCATTGTGAAAAGGTTAACCGGAAATGCTGCTGAAACCAGGCAGACTCAAATTGTGGATGAGAGATGAGGGATCCTCGTTGTACTCAAATTTTTAGGTTTAGGTTTCAGCCGCAGTGATGTTAAAGGAAAAAGAACGGCAGTAGGAGTCCTGGGCTCATTTACACAGTAGCAATCACTTGTTGTTTTTCAATTCACATGCAAAAGTGAAAGACGCTGCTGTAAATGAAAATGGACCCCTTGTTCATACGGTGTAGTTCACATTTAAGCATTGCTTTAACTTCATTTTTTGACAGTTATATATGACTTGCTTTACTGAGTTTAGGTACTTTATGCTAGATGCCATTGTTGAATTGCTAACTTTTTCCTAGAAATTTGAAAGTGACTTGATGCCTCAACAAACCTTGGTTCTGATCATGTAGTAGTGTTTTTACTTAGCAGATTTACAGTTTTTTATAATCTGAATATTTTTTATGTCCGTGGAGAACTGTTTCTTCCTGTCAGTTCCCCTATTCGTCGCATTACATGCCAGAGGACAGGAGCAGTCATACTGGCCACGGGGTTCCACCCAAAGGTCTTGGGCAATTCTTGGAGCTGGAGAAGAGGAATCCTCCAATGTTTGACTGCCTGAACTATTTCTTGTTTACCCTGTTGGACTTCATATTGACTTAAGCACGCTTGTTTACAGTGTGAACAACCTATCTTAGACAGTTAAAAACACGTGTGTAGTCATGAAATGGTAATAGTGTTTATTGTTTAATGAAGCTTACCTTTAAATTTTAGTTCCACCTCGAAGAAACACACTTTGAATTCAGGCTTTTTTGCTCCACCATATTTCCCATACTTTACACTTTGCCCTTGACAGCAAATTTACTCATCCACTGCTGTTTGCATGGCCAGTGCCCAATGGAATGAAAATGACATATATCATTGCAGAATACTTATGGTATATCTTCAGTAAATGGTCATCTGCTGACCAGGTGGACCATTTGTCTTACAATGAACTGGCCTTTAAATAAATGGTAAGAAGTAATGTTTGTTTTTTGGAGATTGCCTTCCATACCCGCAGAGGTACTATTTTCATAGGCACAATTTTAGACACGATAGACACAAAATTCACATATTAATTCTTGCTCAGTGACAATTTTTTCTTTTAAAAGTGATTACCATAATAAAATTGGCTTTTGGTCTGTTTGACATAGATAACATGTTGTGTATGACCACATGACTTAAGAGATAGATGGATAGAAAGAAAAAGAAAGAGGAAAGAGATAGAGAGTGAGAGAGACAAACTAAATTGAAACTCAAATGGATCTAATTTCACAGTGGTTATTTCATGAAAGTAGAAAGTGCACCAGACTAAAACAAAAGTCAGCAGGCACAAATAACACCAGCCCAGCTGCCACGGGTATTCTGGCAGATATTGTGGGCTTAAAAATGTATCCCCATCCCTATTCGATGTATTAAAAAACAACACTCAAATTCATGAAAACCATGTAGTATTGAAAGTGAGTGTCAAGTTCTGCATTGTATTCTTATCAGTGTTTAGCTTTGTGGTACAGAATTTTTTTCCTAAAAAATTAAAATCACCCAACACATACATAATATGCATTCACAGAGGATTTCCAAGTGTTAAATGTAGGCTAGGCAGTCGCCTACTTGCCTCTGTTTGACTGGCCACTTCCAAAACTAAACATCATTTAAATTATGGCAGGATGGGAACTGGTTACATTGAGTGGTGCTACTTGGCAAATCCTCACATTTTCAAATCTAAAACCAGCACATGGTACTTTAATGGTAATAAACTTACTGCTGACTTGGATCATGTAAATGACAATCATGCTTCTGTTTGGTTCCACTGGTATTTTTGCTTACAAGTGACAACTTGCACGTCCATAATTTCCTGAAATAGCATCTTGTCCAATGTAAACAAGACTAATTGCACTTTATACATTATGGCATACAGATTTCTAAAGTTGTTTTTCTTTTCAGTCTGCCTATAACAATTGCTCCCACTGTGTGGTCAGTGCTGACATGGCAACTCTCGAACTCTCAGTGCAGCAAACAGGCAGACCAGCAACTTGGAAACATGCAGCATCAAGGCATGTGTCCAAGAGGGGACGAACTGTCCTGCCTGACTCCCTGCCACATGGCTGTTTTGTGCAGCTTGTATGTTCATGTATTTCATCCTTAATCCCATGCGTAAAACGTCATCAAAACAAGGGTTAACTACACTGACTTTGGAAGTTTGAGCCCACTGGTCACTTACCCGATGTATGATAAACAAACTTGTCCATTTCTCTCATAGAAAGTATACAGCATATACAGGCAAAAGATGTTTGTAAAATTACACGTGAGGACAGATAATCAGTTTGCAAAAAATGTAGATGGAAAGTGGCTTCCAAAGGAGGAAACGCATCAAACCTGTTTGCTAACACCATCCCTCTGTGTAGATCAAAATATGTTTCCCATTCATAACTTTGATAAATAACAAAAAAATGTGAACGTTTAAACGTGAATCATAAAATCGAAAATAATCTGCAGTGTCTCCCTGTTCGATAAACTCTGACTTACAAGCAGACGCACTCTGACCCCATAAAGAAACACGCACACAAACTTTCCTGGCTTGGGGGGCTGAC